GAGGAAAAGGGGGGAGGGGGGCGGGGGCATTCTGCGGACTGTAGTCCAACTTGGATGTGATGCGTGCCGATGACCTCCCGCGGGGGGAGAGTGGAGTGATCAGTCGTCACCACTCTGGCTCCGGAGGTGGATGTAGAGAGACGGTTCGCTGAGGGAGATTACATCTGCGTCTCAGAGGGAGTGAAAGTGGATGGCGGGAAAGATAAGATCCGTCACTGAAGAGGATGAGGATAAAAGTCAGCCGCCGCCGATCCCAACGCGCTCTGGCGTCGAGGGCTGCGGCAGGTGCGATGATGCGTTTCTTTTGCGCCTGAGCTTTGTGCTTTGGGTCGATCCGCTATCTTTCTTTTAAGTGTTTTAGTTCCACGGAAAGAAAAGTTTATCTCTTTTTAGCTCAACGGAACGGTGAGTTGTTGGAACCAATACCACTAGATAAATACGGGACAGCTTATCATTTAACAATGCAACTCAAATTTTTGCTAACCATGATACAACTATTTAGCTATGTAGCTAAACAAAATAGCTATAATAGCTAAGACAAATAACCACTCTTTGTGTTACACACCTTACTAAGTCGGAATCTCTCATTTCACTATTGGTTTAGCTGTACAGGTGAAACTATTTATGCGTGTTGTGAAAAGGGAATAATCGGGTGGAAATCGAACGAGGGAACGCTCGTGTCGCCCTGTGTCCGCGCGTGACGCACGCTCTCACGCACGTCTCACGCGCGCCGCCAGATATCGAGACAGTGTTCGGGAAGCGTTCGCCAGGGCCTTCTCTCCGCGACTCATTTGCATTTTAAATGCGGATCGCGGCAAAGAAAATGGGAGGAGATCGGAACGCATCGCTCGTCCGAAAAACGGCTGTCTCTCTTTATCAGCTTCCTCACCTCGCGCTGGTGGTCTCTCTCTCTCCCTCTCTCTCTCTCTCTCTCTCTCTCTCTCTCTCTCTCTCTCTCTCTGTATTTGTGCCGGACGCGCCCTGGCATCTTTCGCTCGTTTGAGGGGAGTTTATCCCCGCCTGCCTCTTTGGGAAGTAGAAGAGAGGGTGGAAGGAGGAAGAAGTGAAACGGCGAGAATGGGGGAAGGGGCTGTGGGTGGGAGGGCGGAGGGTGGTTAGTGTGTCACCCGATCTGGTGGCGCGTAGCCGCGTGCCCCTCCCCCTCCCCCCCTTCTCCTCTCTCCCTAAGTGCCGGATCATGTCGCTAATTTCGGGATTAGCGCGGCCATGGCGGCTCCGGCGCACTCACGCCCCCTGTATACAAGTACCTGCCCCCCCATCCCACGTCTCCAATATACAAGTACCTTGCTCCCCTCAAAGTATAGTACAAGATGTCAGTTTGAACTTCAAGACAATGAGTTCCACAGTTCAAACCGAGATTTAAACTGCAATTTTCCAACCATGACCCATAATATTATTTCTTAGGACCGTCCTCTTCGCCTGTTATTATAATTATTATTATTATAATTCTTTTTCAAACCAGCCGGTACTTGTGGTACGCTTTGCGCTTTTTATTAAAACGGGTATGCGATACGAAAATGAATTCATGCACGCAAAAAACAGATTAGCTGGATACGTGATAGGTCGTAAAATTAGCTGTAGCAGCTAACTTTTTCGCCATCCTAAGTACTGACCAGCCACTACGGGTGTGACCTTAGCCGCCAGAACTAGAAAATTAGCTGGCCTAGCTCATATTAATACCTATCAAGAATCCAGCTAATACATTAGCTTTCTCAGCTAATCCTTTTTTTGCGTGTGGAAATAGTTCAAGCAAATTAAATGCCAACTCGTTCCAACCCTCTCACGTGATGGCTCGTTTCAAAGAGAATTTAAAGACCATAAAGATGGTGGTTTCAAAAAAATTATTTTTGTTGGTGGTCAGAACATTGCAGTTTAAACTGCTTATAGTCTTACTGTTACAATACTGACTTCTTACTGCAGTTTGATTTGCAGAGTGCTCACCGCGAGAAAATGAAACCAACTGTTCTAAAGCCGTCTGAACCCAGCCGTCTTAATTGGCTGAGCTTGCGAAGCCTTTGCTGTG